CACACACACACACACACACACACACACACACACACACACACACACACGATAAGCCTTACTATGAAAATAAAAACAGCATAAGTCACATTTAAAAGCACAGTATGGCAGTGGAAATTAATAGCTCATGGGTGTGAAGAAGAGTGTCAGTTGGTGTAGCGATGGCATGAGAGAAACGAGTTGAGTGAGGCTAAGAGTAAAGGATGTCATCATTGTGCACAAGGAGGTATAAGAGCATAGGAGGACGAGAGTAACCCGGGTTTATGATTCCTTTGTTATGATCTGTTTGGAGTCGCAAAGTCACTTCTTCCAGTTGTGTTCTTAAATTAACATATTCAGTTCCCTTCATTACACGGAGATTAATTAGAATTGAATTTATTTAATACACGAGTTTCACAATTTGAGTTGAATTACTGAAATAAATGAACTTTTCCACGACATTCTGATTTATTGAGATGCACCTGTACCTACAGTACAGTGCCTTCAGTTTCTGTTGCCTTGAGTCCATCCTCTTTGTTTTTTGTCTTCCACAACCCTGATTGCCATTTCAGGGAGACTCAAAGTCCAAGCACCAGAGCAAGGAATGTGTCCCAAAACCCTGTGAAGAACCCCTAGTCAACACCCACACACAGACACACGTAACCGAACACATTCATACACACTCACACACACACAAAGTGCATTCCCATCCGGGTGGTCCAGGGTTTTCTCATTTCATTAACAAGAGTATTTGTACTGTCTTTGCAGTCTTTGTTTCAATCTACGGCTTCTTAAGAAGTTTGTCTGCTTCTGGGTATGTGGGATACTTCACTGTCTCAATCTTCTCTTTGACTTTATAAGAGGGGTAGAGGCCGGTACGGCCTGTTTTGCGGTTGATTCCCTTGGAGTTTCCATCCCAATGGTTGCCCGCAACTCCAATCAAATCTCCAGGCTCAAGTGGGATGTCGTCGCTGTTGCGTGGTTGGTGAGGGTAGATAGCGATCTGGTTGTGGGCGTTCTGCCCACCGAAGTAGTAGATGTCATCGAGGGAGTAGAAGAAGGAGGAGGCATCTGGGTGGAGAGTCTGCATGATCTCGTAGGCCACTCGACACACCTGCGCACAATGGAAATGAAAACAAAGACGCACGGTCACAAGCTGCTTTCAAGCGGAATCTTCTGAGCAGAGTGGAGTTGAGAGAATATGCAGGTGCATACTCAGGTGCACCTGACAAAGATGAATGGACTTTACAATGGTTAAGCGCTACTCATGAAAAGCTGAAGTGAAGATTAAGGACTATCAGAACAAAGTACCCACAGACTGCTCATGAACAGTCTAAAGCATATGGCATATAAAATGTCAAGACTTCAGATTTCAAAATGGGAAGCTTGGATCTGACTGGCTGGCCTTTCTGGGAGTTTTTAATCACTCTATTGAGAAACAGTCTTGTTTTCAATGTTTCAGGCTGCTATAATGATGGATTCAGAGGAGTCACTGGACAAAAAGTTGCCTTTCTAAAGCTGGACATGCTGTACGGTTTTTATGGTTCTTTACAATTGTTGAATGGTAAAGTCTTCAACAGGGGAAGTGAACCTTGTTCCTGGAGCGCTACCTTCCTGCAGAGTTCAGCTCCAACCCTAATAAAACACCAGAACTTGGTAATCAAAGTGTTCAGGGTTACTTGAAAATAAAAGGCAGGGTAGAGCAGGGTTTGAACTGAAGTCTGCAGAAATGTAGTCCCTCCAGGAGCAGAGTTGGCTACCCCTGCTCCACAATATAACTTGAGTGAGATCTTGGTTAAAAGTCTTGGTACACTGTGACATCCACGTCTTTTATGTCAAAGTGTACAATATATATTGTAGCAAAGACTTTGGTCCCAATCGTCCTGTTGAAAAATTGTAGGAGCAATCCCACTGCTCGACTGCGACTTAGAAGATTGATCATAAAGGCAATTAGTCTTCTGGCAATGAATATGTCACACTAAACAATCAAATATTGGTGCTCTGTAATATACAAATAGTATTTAATATAATTCATTTTGGCGGCCAAAATCGACAGCCAAAAATTGCAGTGTGAAGTGGGCGATTCCTGGCCAGAATAAATGGGCCAGACTTTCTGCCGATAGTAAAAAGTTTGGATCTGCAAGACTACTGATTGCCAGACATGATGTTCTAAAGCTAAAATCACAAATCACAAAGTCTGCACTGTACCAGAGAGTACTTGTAAAGAATATGAGTGTATCTAATAAAAAACCTGAAGTTTAACATAAAGTGGACTTTAGAAGAAAGAAATGACCAAAAACCCTAAAGCAAATCCCTAAAAGAATGTTTTAAAAAGAGTAACAAGAAGAAATTGAGAGTTATGGAACGGTTAAGTCTTAATCCCACAGAAATGCCGTGGGAGGTTTGGGCACTTCATGCAAAAAAAAAAAAAACCCTCATACAACAGCAGAGTGCAAAAAGGGACAAAAAGTCAGTGTGGGAAATGAACAGAACAAAAACTTCTACAAAAGTGGGTCAACCTGTACCTGTGAAGAGAAGGTGCACACTAAGAAGTTGGTCCTGGAGAGGAAGTGGATATCCAGGATGACTCCTCTCAGAGAGTTTTCAGTGTAGCGGTTGTGTAGCCCAGCCGACCATGAAATAGAATTATCACTTATAAATTCATAATCAGGGTACCTGTACACAAACACACAAAAAAAGTGGGTTAAAAGGCGCTCCCTGACGGCACTCCTCTTGCCGTGTTCCAAACCCTAGTCTGCTGCCTACCTACAGTATACAGCATGTTTAGACATCATTTCAGGCATGTTCATGATGTCAAGGCTTTTCCAAACAGAGGACAGCAAGTCTTATGAAACACCTAATTTTATCAAAATTCTAATGCAGCATCCTTTGCCGATAAAGGGATCCCAAAATGCACTACATGCTTAAATTGTATACTAATAGACTGGGAAATGAACAAATTAATTAAAAATGGGTTAATTTAATTAAAGATGAACAATGTCACCATGGGCATAAATTTCATCTAACAGTTGGGGGGGACAATAAACATAAAATTTCTCAAGAGCAGTTTTTGAAAGTCATACCAATAATACAGCCAAAATTGTACTTGTAAGGATATGTGTACATAGAGAAAAGCCTTAAATTGACTGTGAGCCTTAGGGAATGTTCACACCAAGAACAATAATTATAAAGGTAACTATAAGGACAACTATATTAGAATTCACATCAAACACACGATAATGTTCTGTTTATTATAAACGCACACTGCAATTATGTCATCTGCCATTTCGAATGCTCGAGCTCTTTAAAGTCGGGTGTATTCTGATTGGCTGTCAATGTTTTTATTGTTTGTCAGCTGGAAAAAATGTTCTGAAAGTGATTCCAATGATATTGTTCCTCTGTGTCGTCATTGTTATAGCTGTGGTGTGGACTATTCTCAGAAATAAAACAAATATTAAAACTTTATCGTTATAGTTATGTCCTTGGTGTGAACTGGAAAGTTGTCGCTTTATAAACGGTTTAATTTCAGTCACAAGATGTTCCATGTTGGTTATGATGCCAACTTAGGGTATTAACGATTCTAAGACAACTTATTATTTCTGTCTAATATTTTCCATTTAATTACCTAAAGGTCCTTAACAGAAGAAAAATTCAATTGCCAAGCAACACAGCATGAGATATTAAGACTTGTTTTCATAGACTATATAAACTGTACTCACTTAGACTTGGCCTCCTGCAGTAGAGAGGGGTCATCCGTGGCGAGGTAAACCCGTTTCTTGTCCACATGCATGCGCTGGGCCAGACTCTTGTAGTGGTCCTCAACATGCACCATGTACTCTTCTATGGGGTGGAATGCCGCCTCTGTCCCTACCTTATCTGTCCGGCGCACATGCACCCTGGAGAGAAGAGCAATACCTGGGTCAGCCTGATTGTGTGAGAAAGGGATTCAAGGTCGACAATGAACAGGAAAAAAATACAGACCAGCAGAATAAAATTTCTTTCCATTTTTTTAAACAGATGTTTAAAGGTTTTGTGCTTTGGGGTGCCGAGTTTCTGAAAATGCCAACCATTATGTGTCTACGTGTGAGTGTAAGGATGGGCGGCTGAATAAAGAGACAACAGAAAGTAAGAATGGTGTGTGCGAGAGAGATAGAGACAGAAAGATGGCTGTGAGTGGTTGCGCTCCCAGTAGAGAGCGAAGTGGGTGTAAGTGGAGACTTATATATATATATATATATATATTTATTTATTTTTATATCCAATAATATATTAAGTAAGCATAGTGCATTCGGTATCAGAAAGCTCCACTATTAAAATACAGTGAACTTTGTAGCATCTGAGTGGTTTTAATGGCCTGGTGTGATGCTTTGATGTGTAATGTCTCACCCTATAATGGGGTGCTTGAAGCCCAGCTTGCTGGTGGCCTCTTGCATTTCCTTCAACAGCCAAGCCTGAGGGCGGATCAGGTACTTGACAAACTGAGACACCCACCACACAGGTGGGTCACCGTGAAGCCTCTGAAGCCGGTCTGCAAGGTCTTCAGGGATAGCCAGGGGCAAGTACGGGGGACGAGGGTGCAGGCTGTCCACGATGGGCAACTCAATGACTTGAACATCCCGATCGTTTGCTTCACCTACAGACAATGCACAAGACAATGAGCGGAATGCACTGGAAAAATGAAATATTGCAGTATGGACTGAAAATTGGCCAAACATGCTTTTCCAATAGGGGACTAATTTACAATTATCAAGTCAATAAAGCTTGACGGAGGAGCTGCTCGCACGGAATAGAGAGCGGGGGCTGAAAACATGAGAGATAAAAAAGACCCTTAGGCCAGAAACGTACTACATGTAGGTATGAAAACAGATACAAATGCTTGGTGAATACAATAAAAGCAGGCGGCAATCTGTACATACTTTACATTACATTAACGCCTTTGGCAGGCACTTGTATCCAAAGTGACTTGCAGTGTATTCAAGGTGTACATTTTGCCAGTGCTTATACGCCATATTCTTCAAGTATGTTCTTCAAGTATGTTCTCAACCACTAGCATGAAGTAATGGAAAAAGCTTTATCAGGGAAAAATGTCTTCAAAGAGGCTGTGCGCGCCAGGTTTAAATGATGCCTTATGCAGCATTAAATGTTAAAAAGTATTTTTCACACAAAGAAGTGTTGGAGAAACTCCCCAGCCTTTCTTATATAACCTTGCTGCTAGGCTCTTTGCATGGGGATGAGGTTTTCCAGCCCAGCACCCCTCATTGCACTGATAAACAAAATAACTCTCTCTCTCTCTCATCCTCATTAGAGCAGCAAGAGAATCTAAATTACATCTTGTCCTTGCATCCTGATGAATAAATTGAAGGGGTTGGGGGGCTTCAGGGGAGGTGGCTTCTTTTTTTATTTTTAATTCATGCTGTCTGTGCGTGTGTACCGCTGAAGCAACACTGATTCATTTTAATGCTGCGTGTGTTTGGGTGTGCCTGTTGCTGGGGGTATTTTCTCTAAACGCCAGCAGGATTATCCTGAAGGATTTGGCCTGCCCTTTGACACGATGCGTGTCATAACTAGAGGCTTTAACAGGGTTATGTTATGTACATTATTGAGAACCATCTCTCGAAAGCTCGACTACAATTAGGCTGAATTCATTTGGGCACCGCCAGTATGTGCGTATATTAAGAGAATCCAAGATGTTAATGCTAATGTGTGAAAACTGATGGCATTGCGCTAGCAATACCGAGGTCACGGGTTCAATTCCCAGGGAATGTGAAAAGCAGTGAGTCCCGGCCCACTTCGAGCTCAATACTTTGGATAAAAGTGCCTGGCAAATGCATAAATGTAACGGAATGAGTTGGAATAGCATGTTTAATATAACTCGCTTGCTCAGTCTCCATCTCTGTCAATCTCGCTGGTCCGTGGAGTGCAGAAACTCAGGCGTTAGGGCGAACTAAGAGAGATTGTGTCCTCTGGGAGGAAAGAGTGATGGGAAATCGCTGCTTTGTTTTGAGGTAATTTCTTTCATGTTTTAAAGGCAGTCTCTCCTTCCCCTCTGCTTTGCTTTTAAGAGCACAGCAGGTTCACTCCAGCTGTAGAGAGATTCCTCTGAATGCTGGCTTTAGCCTATTTGACAGACTCTTACAGCGGGTCAGTGTATATATGTTTTCCAAATGAACGTTTTAAAAACGTCCATTATTAAATAAATGTAAAAAAAAAAAACAGTGGAATTTCAGTGTGGACTGAATGTAATTAAGGATGCACTGATTTCAAAATTCTGTCAATACTGATTAGCTGACTATATGCTTTTTGCTATAGCCAATCACCAATAAATGACTGATAATAAAGCTTTACACTATTATAAACACTTAGAACTACAATCAATTCAATCAATCAATCAATCAATAAATATTACAATGTACACTATGAAAAATGGATATTCAGTAAAGATTACATTTAATAGTGCTTATTAGTGTTTTTAAAGATTAAGAGAACATTAGATGATGGCAAAGGCAATCTGAATATTAAAATATGGGAAATGAGTATGAACAATAAAATATATAGTATTGACTCTATTATCTAGGCTTTGCAAAAATCTGTTATTAAAGGATGAGAGAGCACAAACCTCTATTGAAGTTTCATTCATTTCACAATAATACTGTTTTACCATATTTTTGATCAAATAAACATCCTTGGTGAGCATTAATGACTCCTTTCAAAAACCTTAATGATCCCAAAATTGTAGAAAATCTAAAATGTAGAATATGACCTCTTTAATAAGTAATCATTATAATAATCCTTGAGGCGTGATTTAGTTTAGTCGCATTTTTTAACCTTGTATGTTACGTGTTGTTATGTGTTGTGTCTAATTTGAGGGGCATGTGTGTTACTGACCAGACCAGTGTCCAGTGGAGGCCCCCGTGCGGTCAGTGCAAGTCTCGCTAACGGGTTTAAAGACAGTCTCCCATCCACCGGTGGCGTAGCGCCAGTTCTGTGACTCCAGTATGATGGTGCGCTGTGTGCCATAGGCAATCATGAAGCAGTAGACCACATGATGCAGCTGGCAGCCGTAACCACAACCCTTATTGATGTTACACACCAGCTTGCGAGCCTTGCTGCAGTCCTGAGGGTTCTGCAGATACAGATCAGTAGAGAGAAATGACCGAAGAGATTTCTACACATACAGTGGACACGTTTAGACAAAGAAATCACATTTAAAACAAACATCTGAATTCCATTACATGAGTAGAAATACAGCTTGAGGCTGCTGTATATGGCATTTTTATAGTCCAGCAGGTTCCTTGATCTGCTAGATGTCAAAAACACCACAGAAATTTGTATTTGACAGCTGAAGTGTGACTTCTGTACCGTGCTGTTCAAGACATTTGTATAATACATCTTTCAAGAATATCAGTACGATAAAAACGTGATAGAATACAAAAAAAACCCAAAAAAACAAAACATGAAGCAGATTTGTTAAGGTTTTTGAAACTCTCCAATCATCTCATGCATGAAAATATTTTTAGTATGTGCAGGAGGAAATGATAAATTTGGCTCTGACACCAGAATAATATAATGTCTGAATGATCTTGGCTAGATGAAAGAAGACGAAACAAACAGGACGGAAAATGGTCCCTCCATCTATCGCTGTTTCTCTCATACTGAAACAATAGAGAGGCGAATGACTGGAGTATAGCGAAAGAAAGGAGCAAGAGAGAGAGAGAGAGAGCACTGTAGATAAGAGATGGATGACAGCAGTGTAGTGAGACAGACAGAGGACTGTCATTTCTCACAAGAGACACAGCTTCTTTGTTATCAACCTGTCTGTCTCTCACACACAAAGTAAAATACACTCCATCACTTTAATCACACTCCAGCTCTCATTACCGCTCTAACATGTCTCTCTGATGGAGAGCACTGACACAAAGCTATTAGTCAAAGTTAACATAGTACTAGTAGCACAAAAGTTTTCCCCTAGGCCAAATGAGTAGGTTATAATACAATATAAAAAGGCCAAATACTTAACCATCATCAATATCAAACCAGAAATGGGCTTCTTTTGACCCATATTACACTGGTTTCATGCAGCATTATCATTAGTATTAATAAAAATGGCCATAATAACAATGATTTACATTTGATGACATTCAAAACATTTAATAGGAGGATATATATATATATATATATACACTGTTATGTGATATATAAACACACACACAGACACAGACACAGACACAGACACACACACACACAGTGTATAAATTCTTATGCTCACCAAGGTGATTAAAAATACAGTAATAACAGTGATATTGTGAAATATAATTACAATTTAAAATAACTGTTTCCTCAGCTGAAAATGTAATATTATGTTTGATATGTTTTCACACTTTTCATTAAAAAACACTCTGCTTGAACAAACATTTTTCCATACTTATCCAGACCTGGAAATTACTAAAATGTAATTCCATACTTTTCCATACTGAGCAGGAATCCTGACTGTAACTTACAGACCCCAAACTTCTGAACGGCAGTGTATATATGATAAATATAATTGGAAAAAAAGGAGAATTTTCTGTATTACATTACTAAGTACAGTAAATAAACAGACAACTTAATTTTGATTATTTCATAATAATAATGTTTTTGTGAATGAGAAATTGCCATTTTGCCATTTAGCTAGCTTCTGCTAAATGACTTGAATGAAAAATGAATTTGCACCTACTGTAGAGTTTGATTGGATGTATGGCCTTGAGCTTTAAAGTAAATTATATTGAAAGCCTATTAATAACTAAGCCTATTAATTAAAAAGATAAGCCTATTTATTTTCTTCTCTTATTATAAAGCCGTATTTTATTATTTGCACTTGGCATTGCAGACATGCGACCCCTTTCATACCACTGCTTTATGAAACTTAAAGATAAATCTATCACAAATATGCAGTTATAAATATGGAGATTATCAGGTAAAAGCATCAGTTGTCTAAAGCCTCAATGTGCTGTTGACATTCAAACCGTAACTTCAGCATGTGTCTGTGGTCTGAAGTCTTTCAGCTGGAGAAGTTCAGGCTACAGGTTAAACACACAAAATCAAGCTGAGCTCTGCTGGTTTCAGCCTGTGTGCTGGTGCGAGGCACTGCATTGTGTTGCAGCTGAATGTCAGTTTAGTCTCCAGTGTGGAGTCAGCGCAAACAACCGCCCCATCCCATCTCAGAGAGAGGGACAATATACTGCTGTCCCGCCAACTGCAATATAATCATCCCTCTCATTGATATATGGGGAGAGGGAAGGAGGAGGGTGAATGAATGTGATCTTGTTCAGCCATAGACTGTATTCACAACAGAAGCCATATTTAATTTGAAAAACAAACAAAACATGCAGTCAAAACTGAGGCTGTGAGGGTTGGAAGTAGTGCCAAACGCTTTAGATATGGAGGGGGACCCCAACATTCATATGAGCCATGCAATATAGGTTGTTCAATGGAAATTTCTCACTTTTTTACATTTGATCCAGCCCAATCTTGAAAGTTTGGATCTATTTTGGGATAGAAGTAGAGTCCATTGAATATGTCATACTGTTGTGTACTTCCATCCCTCATAGCCTCTATTTCGTTCCTTTCAAATTAAAAATAGCATCCAATGATTATGAACAAATCAGTGTTTTTGCATCTTTTACATGAACAGATCATTTCCACACACTAACTCACATTTTTGTTCACTGAAGTATCTTCCTTTCAAAGAATTAGACTGCTTTTCTGCCCTTAAAGACATGAGCAAATAACATTTGGAGTCTCAGAGTAGCACTTTTATTACATTAAATTAAACACTCTTTCAAGAGCCTCTTATTAGAGTTTTAACACACAAGTTTTAACATAAAATAATACTTGTTTTGTAACGAATTGGTTGAGTAAATGATTCAGTGACTCATTCATGACAGAAAAAGACTCACTTATAACCACCAACAGGCATAATTATATAAGGTACACTGAGTGAATCAGTTCACAAATCTGAATGAATCTTTTTAGTCAACATGATTCAAAAGATTTGAGTTACAGGGTTGAATCAAAATCTCAACCACGTCAGGGGTCAAATGAATGAAAATGTCATAATAAAACCTTCCTAAAGAAAGAAAAAAAAAGAAGGAAAAAACGAATGTGTGTGTATGTCGTGTACCTGTAAGTATGTGATTCTGTTCTGTACTAGGTCGGACAGTTCTTTAGCTTCCTTCTCTCTCCAGTCTCCAGCACTGTCCGCCTGGCTCAGACGATACAAGTCTGTCATGATGGACCTAAAGATTGCATAAAGACCACTGTAAAACACAGCTGCTAATTAAGCCAATTGATTATGGCTAATTACAGAACATTCTGTAAAGAAATAATATTAAATTAGTTTTACAGTCACAAACTAAAGTCAGCCTGGCCTATGCACTGCTAATCATCCACAATACAATTAAAACTGCTCTAGTAATGACTTTGTCGGCTTTTCAGCATTACATGGACGTCTTTTTTCTGAAGTGCGAGCAAACGCACTGATCTAAACATACACACTCATTAAACCTCAGCAATGGTATTACAGCCCCATGAGATTACAGCTGTTTAGAAAGAGATTAGAGATGGATAGGATTTTTCCACTTTAATAAAATGTAGCACATGATTAGGACAAGTGAAAATGAGCTTGCACAAAAAAAGGATGCAAAGTCTGCATATATGTGCATTATGGATATGTATTTCTCCTCTATGCTGGGATTCAAAAGTATTAAACTGTTATTCATCTCTTCTATTGTACAACAAAATGTTTTGAGGCCTTAGATATTGAAAACATGGGGGGAAAGCCCCTGAAGTGAATTTCAGTTATTGGTGTAATAAAGATTTGATGAGAGTTGTATGGGGACCAGCTAATCATTTCACATGTATCCTATATTATTATACTATGATCTATCCATCCATCCATCCATCCATCCATCCATCCATCCATCTATATGTACAGCTACTGTTGTATTTGATGTTGATTTGATTTCATAATTTACAACCATAATGGTTCAGACTGGGAAATTTTAATTGATTCAGTTGAGGTATTTATCATAAATGGACAGAATGCTGTGTTTTATGTTTATAAAAAAATATGACATTAAAAAGGAAAAGAAGTCTTAAAAAATCTATTACACAGAGCAAATATAAATAAATAAGTTTAATTTCTCATACTGGTGTGAGCATATATTTAATTGGAAACGCATTTACACATTTACCATTTAAAAGGTTTTTTTTTTAAACAATTAACACTTTTTATTAAGAAATTGATACTTAATTTAGCAGGGGCAGTAAAAACCTTTATAATGTTACAAATGGTTTATATTTCAAACAAATGCTGTTCTTTTGAACTTTCTATTCATCAAAAAATACTGAAATAAAATGACGGTTTTCATAAAAATATTAAGCAGCATAACTGTTTTCAACATTGCTAATAATAAGAAATAATTTTTCATCAGAAAATCAGCATATTAGAATGATTTCTGAAGGATATAACACTGAAGACTGAAGTAATGGCTGCTGAAAATTAATCTTTGCATCACAAGAATACATCAAAAAAAAAAAAATATATATATATTAAAATAGAAAGATCTTACCCCCTCAAACATTTGAAAGGAAGTGTAGATTTACAGTATAATGCAGACCGATCTGCTGTATCGGCCAAAATGTCTATATGAGTGAATTGCTGATGTTTACATATACTGGATGTGTGTGTATAACCTCTGCTGGTGTCCAAGGTCCTGCAGGAGTGTGTCCACATGTTTCTGTAACGCTCCAGTCTCCACCAGTGCTAGTTTCTTCAACTCACTGCATACGAAATACCACAGTTCCCTCACGCCGTTCTCCACCTTCCTCCTTAGCTCCTCCTGGTCCTTTCCTGGGCCTGCATACACACACAAACAAACGTTCATATTATTTCAATGCTAATGGTTACTACTGAGAGGAAAGACCAATATGAATCAGTCTGGTACTCTAATCAGCCAACATCTGTTCATTTTGTGATTATTGGCATTGGTCAATTGTGACCCTGGACCACAAAACCAGTCATAAGGGTCAATTTTTCGAAATTTAGATTTATACATCATCTGAAAGCTGAATAAATAAGCTTTCCATTGATGTATGGTTTGTAAGGATCGGACAATATTTGGCCGAGATACAACTATTTGAAAATCTGGAATCTGAGGGTGCATAAAAAAATCTAAATATTGAGAAAATCGCCTTTAAAGTTGTCTAAATGAAGTTCTTAGCAATGCATATTACTAATCAAAAATTAAGTTTTAATATATGTACAGTAGGAAATTTACAAAATATCTTCATGGAACATGATCTTTACTTTAAGCTGCAGTCCGTAACTTTTTTTGGTTAAAAATGATCCAAAATCAATATTTGAGTAAGTACATAACCAGCCAGTGTTCAAAACTATCGCCTTACTTTAGCCCGATTCACAATGGTTAGCTTATAATAATGTTTTCTAATTTGAGTGCTACGGGTAGGTCTTCGCGGGAAATTCGAGCATGGCACTGCGTCATTACGTCACTTCTGTAAACACAAAGAAGTTGTCCCGGCTACTAGGCTATCGCATGTGAGGATCCTGCAGGTGGAGGATCGTTAGCCTTTTCTCACAGCAGCCAGAATAATTAAATGTCAAAAAATCATTTTGATGGCGGATTGTAATCCAGAAAGGATTATATGAAACACATGTGAATGAAATTAAATTATATTCCAGTTTTAAATGTGCTTCTGATTACAGATAGCCTGGGATTACACAAGATTTGTATTTTAAAGACAACCAGTTCGAAGGGAGCATAGTTTGCTTTTTGGGTTAAAAGAATGTCTTGGTATGAAATTCGAATGGTATGACAATTAGAGATTAGACTGTACTGAAATTTAAATCTACTCGCGTATACACACTATACTCATAGTCACGCAATGCTGATGTTAACATTAATAATCTGAGAATAAAGTATAACAATACTCATTTGCATGGTTTGATGTGATATGAGCTAATTGATCATTAAATTTAATCACCATTGGTAGCATGATTTATTGTAATGCTTTTTTCCTCAGTAGGTCAGAACAAACGTGGCAGACTTGTTACTTACTTGTTCAGATGACAATATACGCGGAAAATTCTTATTTGGGTCATATATTCCAAGACGTAGGCTAGAATCTGTGATTACTAAGTATAGGATTCACACTGGTGCGGTGACTGACTGCCACACATACTCCTCAAAACATTAGATTCATCCGTGCCTGAGCCGTGCAAGAGTACAACCCACACAAGGAAGATAATTCCGCAAGTAACTGCAATTCCAGGTTTTCAAACAGAGATGACGACAAAGAGGTAAAACTTACGTACTGCAGCTTTAATATCCTAATGATTTTTGGCATTAAAGAAAAATCAATAATTTTGACCCATACAATGTATTTTTGGCTATTGCTACAAATATACCCCAGCGACTTAAGACTGGTTTGTGGTCCAGGGTAACAATTATCATATTCACCTGTCATGTGACAGATAATGCACCTAGTCAACTATAGTCACCTCGTCTGTTTCAATATGTTTGAGTGAAGTTTGAGTAAATATCGCATACAATACACTACTGTTCAAAAGTTTGAGGTCAGTACGTTAACATCAAAAGTGACAGTAAAGACATTTATAATGTTACAGAAGTTTTCTATTTCAAATAAATGCTGTTCTTTTGAAATTTCTAGTCATCAAATAAAACATCAATCAAAGTTTGCTCATATCACCACAATTGAAGAAGGTGCAACAATTAGCATTCAGGGAATTGTATTTACACGTGGATGAAGCATACAGTGGCTATCACATACATCACTAAATTACATACTGATGCACTGTTGCTGAGCGTATGAAAGAATGTGTGTGTACTGTAGTCCGTGTGAACTGTGTATGTGTGTGAATGCGCAAAGATGTGTGTGGGATTAAAAAGCAATGTCATTCAATAAGGGTATCAGTGGCCGTAAGACAATCTGGCACATGGCTGTGATCCTCTGTGTATAGAGTTCCACTAGTTCTTTCTCTAAAGAGATCATGCAATGCAATACTATAAGGGCG